AATGCAGGCTTACTACTGCTGAGTAACACCCTATAACTTTTCCTCTATCTAATGCTTTGACAACTGGAATTTCTCTGTAATTCAATAAGCTCTTAGGAGTTCCCCAAGCTTCATCCATCCTGCTGGGCTCATTACTGGATAATTCTAAATGTTTTCTGCACTAGCTAAGAGCACATTTTCTTGTGGGTAGCACAACAGAAGGAGGGTACTCTTTCAAGACATGAATAGCCTAGTTCCATTTCTTCTCACTTCTCCTATAGGTGAGAAGTCTACAACAAATATAATTCAACAACTAAAAGAAATGTCTAAATTATAAACTTAGGTTAGTGGAGTTGTCAAAGATCATCCTACAGGTCACAAGTTTCATACACAGTGTGAGGACTAATCATATATTTACATAAGCTAATGAAAAATCTATACTTTTGCTTCTGGCACTAGTTCATTTACTTATGTCTAATGAGTTGCATGAGGGCCAAATAAAAAATATACCAGCCTTTTCTTTCATTCTGGTGAGATTATTTGTGAATAGTTAGCTTATGGAGCTAATGAGGACAAGGTCACAGACTCAAACTCCATGCTGGCCAATTAGCTTTGCTGTGTGTTTCTAGGTTCCATGGTCACAGTCAACAACCTTAACCTTGGCTAAGAAACATACTGATCATTGAAGCATTAGGGGAATGAATATAGATGTATCAACAAAATCCATACTTTCAGAAAAAATAATACAAACTAAAAATAGTAATAACAACACCACTCCAATCTCTAATATTATACTAAACCTGACTAATATGTGCCTCATTCAAATAATCTTTAATCTTTTCAACCATGCAGGGTTAGTCTAATCTGTCTTACAGATGATGAGAAACTCAATTCAGAATGATCATATGAACCAAAGTTACATCTAGTGAACCTGGATTCAGACCTTGGTCTGTCTTGACTCCAAAGCATAGGTTACTGCCACAATGCTACATGGCCTCTCCAGAGCACCTCAGTGACCTAGGACAATCAACAAAATGTTCCTATTCAGAACTAGTCAGCACACTCATTACTGAGCATCCACTATGCATACTCACACACTATAGCTGAGAATTAGTACACTTTCCAAAAATTCCTTTTAAGCAAAAAACAGTCAAGGAACAAAAGTGTTGAAATGATTTTTGTTGTTGTTGCTAACTTTTTTATAGAGATGAAGTCTCGCTTTGTTGCCCAGGTTGGTCTCGAACTCCTGGCCTCAAATGAGCCTACCTCAAAGGATCTCAAAGTGCTGGAATTACAGGAATGAGCTATTACGCCCCAGCAAAAAGTGTTTAAGATTAAAACATAAAGAAAAAAATAACACATAGCATACAAAGTAGATTTTAATGGAAGTGACTTTCTATTGTCATAGCTTTGTATACAAGTCTGGTGTGAAAAAATAGTTTTCTTGCTGATTCGTAACTAAAGGTAGAAAGAAGCTGGCAAAACATAGCACAGGCATACCACATCAAAAAAAGAGAGTAAAGGAAACATTTCGTAAGCATCTGAATCTGCAGATATCTGGTAGTCAATATGGCACTTGAAGGAAGTAAAAAATACATACTTCAATTCTAAACTCCAAGACTTTGCCTTGACCAACAAACCATTTTTCTCTATAAGGCTTTCCTCCTTGGTTTTTCTCAACTCTCACTCCCTGCAGATACACACATACCAATGCCATCATTAGCATCAGTCACTAAGAAATGCCATCTTGAAAAAATGAAGGTCACCAAGTCTCCCAAACCCTACCCAAAAGGCTTAAATTTTAAAGTCAAATAGTCTGGCTTAAAAAAAATAAAAATAAGGCAGGAAGAAAAAATTGTTCCATAAACGTCTATCGTAGTCAATATCTGAGTCATAAAGATAGATAATTGTTCTGCCACAAGCTACAATGTACAGAAGTGCATTCTTACCACAGGTTGTAAATGAAGCACCAGTTCAATTTCAACAAACAAGGTACAAATCAACATATGGAATCTCTGGAAAAACAGAAACACAGCAAAGCCCAATAACTCTGCACAACAGCATTTTAGGAACCTCTAAAATTGAAAAAAATCTAATACAATTTTTATATAAAATGCAATTGCTAAAAAACTGCAATCTGAGAACTTCTATTTAGAGTATTTTGTAAAGTTTGTGAATTAAGGATGACTATCCTCATTTTACAGATAAACGGAATTTCAGGAAAATACCTAAAATTATCATCACTATTATCATAATCATCAACAATAGCAACAAAATAATGAGAACTTTATTTGTACCCAGCACTACTAAGCCATTTATGGTCACATCTCATTTCATCTTTGTAGACACCTTGTGACACAATGTTATTTACCTCCATTTTAGAGATTAGGAAACAGGCTCAGAGAAGTCAACTAATTGGCCCAAAATCAAAAACTACAGGTTGAGAATCCCTAATCCGAAAATCCGAAATCCAGAATGCTTAAAAACTTTTTTTTTTTTTTGAGACGGGAGTCTTGCTCTGTCGCCACGCTGGAGCGCAGTGGTGCCATCTCGGCTCACTGCAACCTCTGCCTCCCGGGTTCAAGCCATTCCCATACCTTAGCCTCCTGAGGAGCTGGGATTACAGGCACACGCCACCACGCCCGGCTAAGTTTTTTGTAGTTTAGTAGAGAAGGGGTTTCATCATGTTGGCCAGGATAGTCTCCATCTTTTGACCTCGTGATCTGCCCGCCTCGGCCTCCCAAAGTGCCAGGATTACAGGCGTGAGCCACCGCGCTCAGCCCCAAGAACTTTTTGACACCACCAGTGGAAAATTCCACACATGACCTTATGTGATAGGTCTTAGTCAAAATGCAATCCAAACTTAGTGCCATGCCCAGCAGGGTCTCACTCTATGGGCCAGGCCGGAGTGCAAAGGCGCAATCTCCGCTCACTGCAACCTCCACCTCCGGGACTCAAGCGATTCTCGTGCCTCAGCCTCCAGAGTAGCTGGGACTACAGGCGTGCACCACTACACCTGGTTAATTTTTTGCATTTTTAATAGAGGTGGAGTTTCGCTTTGTTGCCCAGTCTGGTCTTGAACTCCTGAGCTCAGGCAATCTGCCTGCCTCAGCCTCCCAAAGTGCTAGGATTACAGGCGTGAGGCACAGCGTCTGGACACAAATTATTAAATTATTAAAAATACTATAAAAAATTACCTTCAGGCTACATATATAAGGTATATATAAAACCTAAATGACTTTCATGTTTAGATTGGGGTCCCATCCCAAAGAGATCTATGTATATGCAAATATTCCAAAATCCGAAATTTGGAACACTCTGGTCCCAAGCGTTTCAGATAAGGATACTCCAACCTGCAGTAAGACACAGCACTAGGATTTGAATTCAAATTTGCTCGAGTTTGTACACTAAGCTAATGCAACTTACTGTCATCCTCTCGTTTTTTGGACCATTTTCAAGTATTCTTCAATCAATAAATTCAGAATAAACACAGGCTAAAAGTATCTAACTACACTCTTACACCCCTTTAAAACTTAATTGCAGAGGTCGGGCACAGTGGGCACAGTGGCAAACGCCTGTAATACCAACACTTTGGGAGGCCGAGGTGGGAGGATCATTTGAGCCCAGGAATTAGACCAGCCTGGACAACATAGGGAAATCCTGATTCTACCAAAAAAAAAAATTGATTGCAGAATTACCATTCTGTACAAGGGGAAAAAATAAGACAATAAGCAACTTGCTTAGTCTCAAAGCTTAATGTCAAAAAAAAATGAAACAGATGGAATATTTGTCTATTTATATTCTGAATTTCAACTGTGACACAAGACACAAGACCTGCTGGGGACAGGTATTAGTTGTAGCACCACCCTATCTGAGGAACGTTTACTGCTTTATGCTTCCACCTGTGTGATACTGAAGGGAGGTTATAACAGCAAGAGACAGACAGTTGTGTGTGCTGAGGAAGAGTTTAAATTCTGGTGGGCCTTAAAATCCAGATGAAGTTTTAAATTGACTCCACAGGTGGTAACACCCTAAGGTCACCTCTTCACGAGGAACCTGGCATAAAAACATTTGCATGGTTCAGATTCGTTTCCAAAGACACTTTCCCCCTATTTCTTAACTAATTTGATCTTCGTATAGACATGAACCTGGTTTTAAAACTCAACTGACCTAGACTGGAGACTGGGGGATGGCAAGGTTATACCCGAAACATGCTTTAGAGTTCAAAGCTTTTGAAGGAATATCACTTCTGCTGAAGCCCACAACCCTGGAAGGCAGCAGGGGAAAGAACATTATCCCCATTTTTCAGACAAGGAAACTGAGGCTGGCGTAAACAGACTGCTGTACAATAGATCACAGGTCCAGCCAAGTGGTCGGACTGAGACTTCTCCCAGGATATCAGACTCCAAATCCTGTGCTCCTTCCCGTAAACAACCGAGAGGCGGCTGCACGGACAAACTTTAAAGACCGGACTTGGGATTTTTCGAAGGCCTGCCAAGAAAAAGCAGGAAGTACCTGCTCCTTTATAGATTGCTCACTCCCAGCCCGTAGCCCGGGGCTCCCGGGCAGCGGAGAAGACTCAAATGCGAGGCTCGAAGCGAAGCCCGGAAACCGCCAGCAGCCCCGGGGTCGTCTCGGGGGCAGCCTCGGCAGCCCACGCCCCCGCCGCCCCGACGGGGTCGCCAGGGACCCCGCTCAATGCCTGCTGAAACCCAGAAAAAGCACGTCCTCTCTGCCAGGAGCATTTGGGGCGAGCGCCCAAAGCAAGCACGAGCCCTGGTGAAGGCAAAACAGCCCCAAGAGGGTGCCTCTCAACCGCGGGCCCGCAGGGGTCGGAAGGCGGGAGCTTCCCAGTAACCTCCGCCCCAGGCGGGGGGCGGCCCCTCGCGTCACAAGGGGGAAAAAAAATACCAGCAACAAACGAAGGAATGGAAGTCTTGTCCCGGGCTGTGAAGGGAGAAGCGGAGATTAAAAGTCCTAGCTTGGGGTACTCAGGGAGGGGATCTGGGGATGGTTGTTACCCGCGCGCTGTCGCTCTCCGCTTCCGCCGTCTCCGCGAAGCTCTATCTCTTCCGCTCGCGCCGCTGGGGCGCGCGCCAGGCCTCGGCTCCGCCCCGCAACGCCGCGGGGCCTTCTGGGGGTTGTAGTTTCCGAGAGGCCCGGCTGCGCCCACTGAGTTCAGGTCACGTGGGGAGAAGCTGGCAATATGGCGAGTGCAGGAGGGCGTGTACGCTCCTGTCCCTTCAACCCTCCCTCATTCCTCTCAGCTATATACGTGCTCAAATCTCCTCACATCCCACTCAGTCATACCATCTCACTTATTCCGTTCACAGCCAAGTTTCTTGAAAAAGATAATCTACACTCTGTCTCTACTTGCTCATCTTGTTCACTCCACACTGCAGCTTCCGCTCCCATTGAAAATGTCTCGTTGTCCTAAGTGTCCTTGTTGCCAAACTGATTGGAGGTATTTTCGGACTCATCTAACTCAAGCTTTAGTCATTTGACGCTATTGGGCATTATCACTTATTTTCTATGACACTATCCAGGTTTTCCTTCTCTCAATTCATTCTACTCGGTTTCCTTCAAGAATTGTTGTTATAACTTACCTCTAAAATACTGGTGTTTTCCAGAGTTCTTAAAATTGGGGTGGGAGAAGGGACACTCCAGCCCCTTCTCACCTGAGCTCATTGTTTGTATTCTTAACTTCCTAGACAGACCTTTCCTCATCCATGCCCACAGGTATCTCAAATGTCTTTGAAAAGTGAACTACTGGGGCCAGGAACAGTGACTCCCGCCTGTAATCCCAGCACTTTGGGAGGCCGAGGCAGGTGGATCACCTGCGGTCAGGAGTTCCAGACCAGCCTGACCAACATGTCTCTACTAAAAGTACAAAAATTAGCTGTGTGTGGTGGTGGGCACCTGTAATCCCAGCTACCCAGGAGGCTGAGGCAGGAGAATTGCTTGAAAGAGAATCGCTTGAATCTGGGAGGTAGAGGTTGCAGTAAGTCAAGATTGCGCCACTGCGCTCCAGCCGCCTGGGTGACACAGGGAGACTCTGTCTCCAAAAAAAAAAAAAAAGAAAAGAAAAGTGAACTACTACTCCTCCTCCCTACTTTTTAACCCGATTCCTCCTTTCTCACTTCCTCTTCCTCCTATATTCAAATAGTCACCAAATCTTGTAGATTCTATCTCCCAAGTACACCTTGAATCTGTTCCTTCTTCAGGACTCTTAACTCATGACTCAGCTGCTCCTGCGGCCCCACCCAGAGGGGACTCAGAGCATGAGGACTGTTTTCCACACCCCTGTGATTTCATCCCCAACCCATCAGCAGCACCCATTCTCTAGCCCCCTGCCCACCAAAATGTCCATAAAAACCCTAACCTCTGAACCTTCAAGGAGATTGATTTAAGTGATAACTCTTCATCAGTTAAATTCTTTACTGCTCTGCCATGGTCTCAGTGAATTGGTTTTGTCTGTGCAGTGGGCAGGAAAAACTCACCAGGCAATCAGAATCCAGTATTGTGATTGGGAGGTTCAGTGAAGGAAGATTTATAGCAAATCTTATTGTAGGGTAGGTGGACATGGGCATTATTTTAAAAGTTCCTGAGGAGGCCCACTGTGGTGGCTCATGCCTGTAATCCCAGCAATTTGGGAGACTGAGGTGGGAGCATTGCTTGAACCCAGGATGTCAAGACCAGCCTAGACAACATAAGGAGATCTCATCTCTACCAAAAAAATTTTTTTTAATTAGCCAGGCATGGTGGCACAAGCCTGGAAGGCTTGGAAGGCTGAGGTGCGGAGATTGCTTGAACCCAAGAATTCAAAGTTATGATGGGCCATGATTGTGCCACTGCCCTCCAGCCTGAGTAATCCTGTCTCAAAGAAAAGAAAATTAAATATAAAATAAAGTTCCCTGGTTATTCAATTATTCAACAAAATATGTTTTGTTGCTTACTATGTACCAGTGCTGGGTACTGAGAAAACAACAGTGAACAGAATATTACCTGGCCTTGTGGAGTTTACATTCTCTTTGAAGAGACAGATATTAATCAAATGATTCCATACCAAAAATAAAAACCAACAAAAAATCCACAGTTGCCAGCTATAATAAGAATTATGGAGGAAAAGTATTGTAATTGGTCCCTTTCCCCTTCTCTCCCACCTGCCCCAGCCCAGGTTGGGAATCAGTTTATGTTTCTTACCCTGTCAAACAAAGCCTGTCAGGAGCTAATCTCCTCCTACCCCCGCCCATGGACACCTTAGGTTTACCAAACTGCTGTGGCACTTGCTCTTTAACCTTTGCATAAGCCGTCCCTCTGTTTGGAAAACCCTCTCTCTTCTCCCTTGACTAACCTATACTGCTGTCTAATTCTCCTCTATGGGATTCAGAGGAAACCCAGTAGAACACCAGCCACATGAAAGGATTTTCTGAGGATTGTGCTGAGTCAGATGATAAGCCTCAGGCACTAAAGCAGTGGGCTCAGTAGGGGACCCAGAAACAGTGAAATGTGGCCTACAGGGACCTGGACTGTGTTATCCAGTTTAGAGGTATCAGGCCAAAGCCAACATACCCACCCTTCAAAACATAAATCAAGTATCATCTCCTCCAAGAAGCCTTTGCTGAACTTTGCCCCCCACCCCCACCAAGACAAATTAGTGCCCCTTTCCTAGACACTCATCCCACCCATGTTGGCCTCTCTTTCAGTGATATGCTAGATCCAGCTCATACCAACTTTGTTATTTATTATTTATTCATTTAATTTTTTAATAGAGATGAGTTATCATTCTGTTGCCCAGGCTGGTCTCGAACTCCTGGGCTGAAGCAGTTCTTGCACCTTGGCCTCCCAAAGTGTTGAGATTACAGGCATGAGCCACCACCCCCAGCCTCATACCAGCTTTAAAGAGACAACTGTTAGATGTTCAGGAATTTTTGCAAGCCGGTTTAAGCCATTGGTAGTTTGAAATCTGCTGTGATTTGTAGTGTGTGTGTGTGTGTGTGTGTGTGTGTGTGTGTGTGTGTGTGTGAATACTCCATGGAAATCAGCAAATGACAAATCAGGGCTTCTTTTTGTTGTTGTTGCTGTTGAAGAGACAGTTTACTAGCATATCAGTGCCTTTGTCATATCACACATCTACATTATATTGTAATGTCCACTCCCCAATTAGAAGAATTCCTTGGGTCAACTTCATTTAGCAAATATGTATTAATTTTTATTACCATGCACCAGAGACTTAGCAAGGTGATGAGAGGGCACATGGTGGAGAACACACAAGCATGGTCCCTGCTGTAATGGAGCTTACAATCCAGCAGATAAGACAAGAAATAAGCAAAGAACTCTGTACTTTCAAATGGAGCAAGGCTGCTGTGCAGTAGAACATCCTGGCCATGAATGACAGTTGATATGGTTTGGATTTGTGTCCCAATCCAAATCTTATGTCGAATTGTAATCACCAGTGTTGGATGTGGGGCCTGGTGATTGGATCATGTGGGTGTATAATTTCTCCCTTGCTGTTCTCGTGACAGTGAGTTCTCATGAGATCTGATGGTTTAAAAGTGTGCGGCACCTCCCTCTCTCTTTCTTTCTCTTACTCCAGCCACGTAGAATGCACCTGCTTTCCCTTCACCTTCTGCCATCATTGTAAGTTTCTCCTGATGCCTCTTTGGCCATGCTTCCTGTGGAGCCTGCAGAACCATGAGACAATTAAACCTCTTTTCTTTATAAATTACCCAGTCTCAGGTAGTTCTTTATAGGGATGCAAGAACCAATGACTACGGTGGTGGACATAAAATACTACACTACTTTAACAAGATGGTCTAAGGAGACCTCTCTGGGTAAACAACCTTTCCACTGAGCACGGAAGGATGAGAAAGAGATGGAGAACCGGGGACAGTGTGTTCCAGCCAAAGGGATCAGACCGCACAAAGAAAGAGCCAGGCTGCTTGAGAGACAGAATGGTCCATTTTCCTGGAGTGGAGAGAGTGTGGGTTGAGTGGTCTAGATGACCTGAGGTGGTAATTACAGCCAGGGATGCACAGCCTCAAGGCCATGGTAAGAACCCTGGATTAAATTATAGCCATCAAAAAAAGGGGGTTTTAGAAAGGGGATGATGTTATCTGATTCACATTTTAATACAATTGCTCTTGCTTTGGTTTAGAAGACTGGAATAGAAGTTGGAGCCCATCTGTTGCAGTAGGCTAGGTGAGAAATAATTAAACAAAGTGCTTGCAGTGGGATGGAGAGAAGTGGATGGATTTGATCTTTTGAGTCAACAGGACTTGCTGATGGATTGAATATAGGGGAGGATGGACTGGTGAAAGAAAAAGAGGACCCAAGGGCACTGATAGGTTATATCCATCTCTGTATCTTCAGCCCCTAGAATTGGGCCTTGCACATAGTAGGTATACTACAACTGTGTTGAATAAACTTATCCATTTTACGTGCTAAATTCTGTGCCCCATCACTGTCACATTCCTTAATACAAGGCCTCTACCAGTCCATATAGTAGTGTTACGAAAATTAGGAAAAAGTGTGCCCTTCCTCCAGATGGTCATGGCCCATCATCAGGGTGCAGAATATGGACTGGATTTCAGCTACCACTTACCCCCTTGGCTGGTGCCCTTGTGCAGTGCACAGTCTGCACAACCACATTCAGCAGCCCCAGCTTAACATCCCTGGGAGATGGTTTTGTGGCATTAAGCCCAGTATTTATGAGGAGAATTTGAGGTCCAGGGGAAGGAAGCTGCTTGCCTGGGGTCACCAGAGCTACTCAGAGCTGCCGCTATGACTGAGATTCAAACCTCTGCCCTCTGAATCTCTGTGGGCTCTTTAGCCTCGGAGCCACACTGTCTCTCCCAAATCACTCAGCCCATCAATAATACGCTAAATTCAAAATGGTGACTTCCTTGACTTTCTCATCTGTCTCAGTTACTATTGTTAGAGTAATTCACATTTACATAGTATCCAATATGTGCTCAGTGCCTTACAAAATACAATAAAGGAACATGAAACCAAAGGACCTTGTGTGTTTTTTTTTTTTTTTTAACAGAATAAATAAGAAATGGCTGGTTTAAAAGGCCCTTAGCTCTTGGATAAA